AACAGTGTTCTTTTTCATTTTTAAAAAATCTTTTCCACGGAAAGACAATTTAAAGTTTGCATGTGTGCTTATTGACTTGGGGACTTCAAGAACAAAACTACCTTGTTGGTTGCAGGCAAATGAAACCCACAGGGGTTTGCTTTGGGGAGGTGAAGTGTGGTGAATTCATAGGGCTGGAACAGACCACTTTGCAAATAATAAATTACTTAACCCTCAAGTCCACTAGAGGCCACTAAAAAGGAGTTTATGACCAAGGCACAGGGCTGGTAGCTGGCTCAGTGAGCGCAGGATGGTAATGAGACTCAGAGTTTGGATGTGCTCTGGGTCCAGTTAAATTTAAGAGTTGGAAAAATTACCCGCCCCCAGCCACTGACTGCACCTAGAATTTGTGCCTGTAACTTTGGCCATCTGGGGGAGGAGGAGGTGGAGGAGTACGGAGAAGGAGGGAGGAAGTGGAAGGGGAAGAGGAGAGAGTTTCATGCAAACCCTTCTCTGTCCCTGGAGAAACCAATCTGTGCACATACATTTCTTAGTCTTTCTTCCAGAAGTGGGAAAGCTGAAGTGGTTTTGGGTCTGAGACAGAACTAGGGCATGTGGCCACCCTTTGGTTCCTGCTCTTGTGCCCGGGCCCACCTGCAATATCTTTGTGGCCAGGACCAGAGTACAAATATCCTCCACACCCCTTCACCTAAATATTTACAAGTCATAAATGAAGATAAACTGTAAAGAAAATGTCCTATTCAGTTACCTTGGTGAAAGTACCCTCTTAATGACTTGGAAGGCCAGGTTTAAATGGCAGTGGAGTTTGTTTGCTCTTGCAACCAATGTGTATATTGATTGTGCTACCACCACATGCCAGGCAAGGTTCTAAATGATGGACAAGCAGCCCAACTCCCTGCCCTTGGGAAAGTCAAGATCTAGTCCAGGGAGGTAGACAATACATATGTAACCAAAGAGATCTGATGATGGTACAAGCTGTACTGAAAATAATATAGGGGGAGGTGTAATGAGGTTGACTCTGGGCAGGTGGTATTTGAACTAAGACCCAATGACACCTTTGAAGATGTGAAAGAGAGCCTCAGTTAGTATGTTGCATTGTCATTGTTCATAATAATAACTTCAGATCCTCTGGAAAGTCAGAGGATCATTGCCTATTATTTGTGCAATGTAATATGTCAAACGGCATTTTCCCCGTGAACTGTGGTTCTGGTCAGTATGTTTTCTTGGACCTGACTGCAGATGTCCTCCCCGTGTCCCCAGTGTCCCCAGCGTTTTACAGAAATTTTATATCCAGGCAGTAAGTGACCATTTCAACTGGCAGTATTTTAAAGCTCCTTTTCTTCCCAAGAATCATGCTCATTCTAAAACTCTGGCATGCAGTCAGCAGAAGTCGTTGCCCCTCCCTAAACACTAATTCATTCAGTGAATAACCCCCAGCCCCTACACCATGCAGGGCTTGTGCCTTCTAAGGTAACACTGAGCCTGCTGACCAGCACAAATTACCTGAGGCAGACTGAAAGAATAAAGCAGACTCATTAAGTGGGAATTCATGCATCAGAATCTATTAGAACAAGGGTCTACTGCTATTTCCCCAGCTTAGGGCACCATCTCCTTAGGATTCTGGAAGAAACACACGACTTTGGCTGGGCCCAGTGGGGTTTGAGCCTTTCATTGTGTCACTGGTAGCGGTGCTCTTGGGGTGAGGAGCAGGCCATGGCAGCACTTCCAACCCCGCAAAAGTCTCAGCTGATTCCATGGTCAGCCTGGGGAGAGGCTGACGTTAGATTGTTTTGTGTCTCAGACTCCCAGTTTCTGAGCCCCTTGTCATCCCTCCATGATCTCTTCTAAAATCTTCCATTCTGGGGTCCAGTGTCAGAGAAGAGTTCCCTCTCTCCTGATTGAAAACCTTTTCTAGGAAACCTCACTCCCATTAATGATGTAATGTAGTGATGTGTGAATGATGGCTGGAAACTTTAGGCAGGAATTCAAACAGTGTAATGGCTCATGGTGATCAATTTCAGTTTGCCTATATTGTCTCTTTGTTTTTTGTTTTGTTGACTCGAAGTCTCACTTTGCCATCCAGGCTGGAGTGAGTGCAGTGGCATACTCATGGCCACCGCAGCCTTAACCTGCTGGGCTCAGGTGACCCTTCTGCCTCGGCCTTCCAGGTAGCTGGAACCACAGGCGAGCACCACCACACCTGGATAATTTTTTGACTTATTGTAGAGACAAGATCTTGCCAAGTTGCCCAGGCTAGTCTCGAACTCCTGGGCTCAGGCAGTCCTCTCACCTCTGCCTCTATCTCCCAAAATGCTGGGATGACAAGTGTGAGCCACCACGCCCGGCCATATTTTTGAGGGAAACATTACCCGCACCAAAGATTGGAGGCCACACAGGAGGCTCTCTTGAGTGCTGAGGTTGCCATGGAGTTCTGGAAGATGCTGCTTCCTTCTCTACCCGGCCAGAGATTCTGTGAGAGAACACCTTCTGAACCAGGAATCCCCTCTGCTGGGGCCCACAATGATGGGGAGCAGAGGGGTGACCAAGAGTCTCCTCAAAGTTAACAAGGGGAAAGGAAGAGTAGAGAGAGTGGAAGAATAGGAAAGAAGGGAGGGAGAGAAGTAAGGAGTTGAGAGAAAAAGGCAATCCTCAGCCCAAAAGTCACCCACTCATAGACCTTCTGGGATGTGATGGTTCATTTTATATGTCACCTTGACTGGGTCGTGGGGTACCCAGATATTTCATAACACATTATTTCTGGTTGTGTCCGTGAGGGTGTTTTTGGATGAGATTTGAATGTGGATAGGTAGATTGAGTAAATCAGATGGCTCTCCCCAGTGTGTTGAGCCTCAGTCCACTGAGGGCCTAAATAAAACAGAACGGTGGAGGAAGGGAGAAACTACTTTTTCTCTGCATGATTGCTGAGCTGGGTCTTCTCCTGCCTTTGGTCTGGGACTAAACCACAGGCTCTTCTGTAACCGGTTTGCTAACTGCAGTTTGTGGGACTTGCCTTCAGTGTTTCATAGGCCCATTCCTTAGCATACATCTCTGTATCTATCTTCTTTGACTTCTGTTTCTCTGGAGAACCCCAACATGCCTGTCTCCCTAATCCAAAGTGGCTCCCACCAGTGACTCTCTGTCATAGGTTCATGATTCTTATCTCTATTTGCAATGACAATCTGGCTCCCAGTTTGTTTTCTGTCCTACTCCTGAGAATGTAAGGTTCTAGAACACAGAGATGTGTCTTTCCTACTCAGTTCCTATCCACAGTGCCTGGACCAGAGCCTGGCTCTTAGCAAGTGCTAACTATTTATGAAAGCAAAGATGGAAAGCAGCAGTGGAGAAAGTAAACATAGGGATATATTACAGGAAACAATGGAGGAGTGATTCTCAAAAATTATCTAGGAGCTTCTTGGAAGCCCCTCATCCAAGTCTAGCCCCCAGCTTGGTCCAATGCTGCTAACAAACATCATCTTGCATTAACCCGCTGGGGCAAAGACTTGTTTGTTTCATATTGCCCCTGAACCATAGTGCTGGGTTCCACATCCTGAAAAACATTGCCTGTCACAGCCTGTGTGCCAAAGAAATGTCATACACCCCCTAAGGCTACTGATGGAGGTTTTCAGAGGCCAAGTCCAAATGGATTTTTTTTTTTTAGTATTTGGTTGATCCAGGGCAACCTGCTGATTGGAATCCTGGCCTCCAGAAAAGTGTACTGAAAGTTCTGGAGATGACATGTCTGGAGCTGTGCCAGCAATAGAGAATGGTCAAGCATTATTTGACTGAGAACAGATTTAGGAAGGTGTTTAGGGAGGGGAACAACCCGACTGAACTTCAGAGAGAAAGATTACTCTGCAGAGAGACCATCACAATCGTACAAAGCAACTATCCTTCCTCTGCTAGTTGCTCCCTCTTAGGATAAGGATCAGAGTTTGTGTCCTGTCAATAAAAGACTTGCCAATCTACTTGCTAAAATTAGCAACAAACACCTTTTGACCAGTTCTCAGCTTTTTTTTTTTTATTATTTTGAGTTGGAGTCTCACTCTGTTGCCCAGGCTAGAGTGCAGTGGCATGCTCCTGACCACTGCAGTCTCGACCTGCTGGATTCAGGCAATCCTTCCGCCTCAGTCTTTCAAGCAGCTAGAACTACAGGCATGTACCACCACGCCCAGCTAATGTTTTTGATTTATTGTAGAGATGAGGTCTCGCCAAGTTGCCTGGGCTGGTCTCAAACCCATGAACTCAGGCAACCCTCTCACCACCACCTCCCAAAGTGCTGGGACTATAGGCGTAAGCCACTGCGCCCAGCTAGTTCTCAGCTTTTTCGTGGTGCCATTTTAGTGAAAAAATGATGTCCCATTCAACTGTTACAACAGAATACCAGAGATTGAGTGGCTTACAACCAACAGATATTTATTTCTCATGGTTCTGGAGGCTGGAAGCCTGAGATCTGGGTGTCAGTACAGTTGGGTTCTGGTGAGGGCAGCTTCTTGGTTCATGGACAGCTGTCTTCCTGTCCTCAAGTGGTGGGAGTTGGTGAGGGAGCTCTCTGGAGCCTCTTTTATGAGGGTACTAATCTCATCATTTGGGACTCACTCTCATGACATCCTCCCAAAGGTACCACCTCCAAATACCATCGCATTGGGAATTAGGATTCAACAGATGAATTTTGGGGAGACACAAACATTCAGTTTATTGAACATGGGTTTATTAGTTCTCAGTATAACATCCCCAAATTGCTGAGGCCTATTATATAAGGAATAGGATTTTTGCTGCAATGGAGCAGGGTCTGAATTTGAATCCCACTGTTTGAGCTCCTGTTTCTTGGGAGGAAGGAAAGGTTTCAAGATCTCCCAGTCCAGGCCAGAGAAAGAATGGCACAGAATCATCTTTGTCATCAAAGGCCACAAGTCTTCACATCTCCCAGGGAGGTTTTCAGCCATCACCTATGAAACCTGCCTCTGACATCTTCTTCCCAGATATACACCTCCACCTGAGAGATCTTCCTGGACTTCTCTGCTCTGCTGATTCTAAACTCTGAGATCAATGGTCCCAGTGGGCACACCCAGGGGCCAAGACACGAAGCAGGCTCTGTTCTGTTCATGGACGGTGGCCGGTGCTTTTCCATTTTTGGCATCTTCTTCCCATCTTGGAGAGGAGCCGCTGGCTCGGGCACGGGAGAGTGAGGAACAGAAGGAGGCATCTCAGTCATCTTCATCCTCATCTTCATCCTCGGTGTCTTTGTTGGGGGCACACCTCTGGAAGCACTGCACCACCGTGGCCAGGAAGAAGCTGGAGATGATGGCCGCGATGGACACCGCCACACCGGAGAAGATGATGATGAACAGGTCTGTGAGCGACAGGCTGAACTTGCACTCGCTGAAGCTGGCCTCTGACAGCTCATGCAGTGATATTCGCCTGCTCTCCATGGGCAGGGAGCACTGGATTTCTTCAGAGCCTGAAAAAAGGCAGGCAGAAGGAGAGAGAGGTTGAGGCTGCAGCTCGGGGTTGCCTAAAAGTTGACCAGGGAGATGCTCACAAGGTCAGCAGAGCGGGACCATCTCCCCAAATACAAAAGGAGGAAAAACCTAATTTGAATGGAATATAAACTTTTTTTAAAATCTCAAAGTAATCATGGGAGAAAATCAGAATGCACTGGTCTCCCTTGACCTATTTTAAGGTTTAGTACTCTTGATTTTGAATCACTTGGGGTGGGATTGGAAGGGCACCATAATCTGCTTTGGGTTTAGGACTTCTGTAGACCTTAATCCAGACCTGGGTCGTAGCCAGCCATGGCTAGGGGTAGGGAGGCAGGGAGGTTGGGGCAGATGCAGTGGGTTGGGGACAGCGCCCACTAGTGGATGGACGCTCCAACTGCAATGCCATTTCCCAAGTTAGACCAATTTGCAGTGTTCTCAGGGAGAAGATGAACAGAGAATTAGTAAGGCATGTAGGAACCCCAGTGCCCCAAGAGGATTTTCCCTTCACAGAGTGTGGGCATATGGATGTATCTGAAGGTGGCCCTCAAGTAGTACTTGGTACTTAGAAGATTGGATGAAGCTTTTATTCTTAAGAATCACCGAAAGGTTGTTACAATGCAGATTCCCAGATGCCAGCCCCAGAGAATCTGATTCAGGAGGCCTATGGTGGGGCCCTAAACTCTGCATTTATTTTTTTTTGAGTTGAAGTCTCACTCTGTTGCCCAGGCTGGAGTGCAGTGGCACACTCATGACCACCACAGCCTCGACCTGCTGGCCCTCTGCCTCAGCCACTCAATTTGCTGGGACTATAGGTGTGCGCCCCCACCCTGGCTAATTTTTTCATTTTTTGTAGAGATGAGATCCTTCCACCTCAGTCTTCCAAGTAGCTGGGATTACAGGCGTGTGCCACCATGACCAGCTAATTTTTTTATTTACTGTAGAGACGAGGTCTCACCAAGTTGCCCAGGTTGGTCTCAAACCCCTGGGCTCGGGCAATCCTCTCATCTCTGCCTCCCAAAGTGCTGGGTTTACATGTGCAAGCCACCATGTCCAGCTTTTTTTTATATATTGTAGAGACACGGTCTCACCAAGTTGCCCAGACTAGTCTCAAATCCCTGGACTCAGGCAATTCTCTCACATTGGCCTCCCAAATTGCTGGAAGGCTTGAACCACTGCTCCCGGCCAACTCTGCATTTTTTTTCCTTTGAGTTGAAGTCTCACTCTATTGCCAGGCAGGAGGGCAGTGGCATGATCCCAGCTACTGTAGCCTCGACCTGCTGGGCTTAGGTGATCCTTCCACCTCAGCCTTCCAAGTAACTGGAACTATAGGCATGAGCCACCACACCCAGCCAAGTTTTTTGATTAATAGTAGAGATGAGATCTCGCCAAGTTGCCCAGGCTGGTCTTGAACCCCTGGACTCAGGCAATCTTCTCACCTCGGTATCCCAAAGTGCTGGGATTATAGGCGTGAGCCACCACCCTGGCCCAACTCTGCATTATTAATAAGTAGTTCTAGCTACCAGGTGATTCTGATGCTGCAGGCCCTGAGGTACACTTTAAAAAGCATCATTTTCTGGTTGCCTTCCTAAGAGGGCCAGAGGAGTCCTTTTCGACATTTTTGTCTGTTGGGTTGTCTTTATGATTTCACTTGAAGAGTGTTTGACTAATTTAAGAAGTTTCAAGCCTTCTAATCTAGAAAAATATCACAACTGAGTGTGTGCTGAGAAAGTGCTTTATCTTTTTTTTTCCTTAAGTCAGGGTCTCACTCTGTTGCCCAGGCTATAGTGCAGTGGCAGGATCACAGCTCACCATAGCCTCAACCTCCTAGGCTCAGGCGATCCCTCTGCCTCAGCCACTCAATTTGCTGGGACTATAGGTGTGTGCCCCCACCCTGGCTAATTTTTTCATTTTTTGTAGAGATGAGGTCTTACTATGTTACCCAAGCTGGTCTCAAACTTCTGGGCTCAAGCAATCCTCTCACCTCCCAAAGTGCTGAGATGACAGGTATGAGCCACCACACCCAGCCTCTTGCTTTATATCAACAACAATAATAAATGCTACATGGAACCAACCATGAGCCAGGCACTGTTCTAAACACTTGAACTCTATATTAATCTATTGGATCCTTACAACCACATCATGGGTTAGGTCCTAATATCATCCCTATTTTACAGATAGGGAAACAGGCTCAGAAAGGTCAAGTAACTTGCCCAAAGCTGCACAGCTAGTAAGTGACTGAACCTGGATTCCAACTTAAGCAATCTGGCTCCAAAGACCTGGCCTGTCGCCAATATGCCTTGGAAAGAAAGAGAATGGGAAGGAGCACCAAGAAGATAAAGCAGGGGGTGTGGGAGATAGGAACATAGGAAACTGATGCTTCCTCCCATGACTGCCATCAAGTGGTAGTGACAAAAGTTGCTGGTCAGCTGGTGGAGAGGGACAGACTCTTTTGTAATGGGCTTATAAAGATCCCCCAGTGACTGTTCCCTTATCACTAAGCTATCTCACTTGAGGAACCCATCTGCCATCAGGTGAATAAAGGTACAGCTGCAAGAAGTGCAGGCAAGTAACTTCTACACCCTCTATCCACTTGTTTTGAGCCTAGCAGGAGACTTTGCTGAGGCATGAGAGGTGGCCCTCCAGATACTCAAATATTTATTCAACAAATATATTGAGTACTTCACCTGGGTCAAAGGACTGATGACAAACAGGGCAAATAAGAGCCCTACTCTCAGGATGTTTAAATTCTAGGGGAGAAAACAGACATTCATTTATGCTACCTTTTTTTTTTTTAGCATTTGCTATGTACTAGGCCCTGAGGATGCAGCAGTGAACAAAACAAAGCCTCTGTCCTCAGGCAACTTATGTTTAAAACAATAAATGAGTAGCTCAAGATATACATAAAATGTTTAGGATGAAACATCAGGGTGAAATAATAAAGAATGTCTGAGAAAACGGAGTATCTTTAGATGGGGTGGTCAGGAAGTATTTCAGCTAAGGTCTAAAGGATGAGATGGAACCAGCCATGAGAAGAACATTCTAGGCAGAGAAGACAAGTTGAGAAAGGGTTTGGCATTCAGGGAACACTATGTAACCAGAAGCAGCAAAGTGAGAAGAGGAGAACTTAGCATGGGAAACTCGAGGTGGGAAACTCAAACATGTGTTGACACAAAGTCCCTGATGACCTAGGCCTCTGAATAAATATTATGAACAAATCCCCCCATCCTACCATCAGCCCTCACTGGACATGAATCAGAGACGTAGCTTGTGTCATGTTGAACTGCTAAAGACTGTTTGTTCCTAAGCATAATCTATCCAACCTGACCGATACACAGCACAAACCATGTACAAACTTAAATGACTGCCATGATGTTACAAACCTTGGTTATAAGAGAATGCATAATATTAGAATGCATAAAGATCTCAGATCTTCTGTTTCTGATCTGTAAGAGAAAAATAAAACAGGAGTAACTAACACTCACATCGCACTTACTCTGTACAGACACTGTCTTAAGTGCTACCTACATATTTACTTTTAATTCTCACAATAACCTTATGAGATAGGTTCTGATATTATGCCCATTTGATGGATAAGAAAACTGAAGCACAGAGTATTTGTCTAGCTTGCCTTTAGCAGTGCAGCTTCACAGTGGTGGAGCTAGAACATGAATCCAGGCATTTGTCTCTGGAGGCTTTTTCTTATCCTTTGGTTAATACAGTGGGAGAAACCAGAGAGACGTCAGGTTGCCATTTTGACATGAAGCTTGACTGCCTTCAGCCTCTGCTTGCCTTTGGCTTCCTTTCAACTCAGGAAAATCTTCACTTACTCTCTTTTTTAGTGCTACCAGGTTTCAAAAAGCTCACGTGCAACCCATTTCCAGCATTATCTGAAAGTCAGAATGATGTCTTCACACCTCACTAATTAGCTGGCTTCAGTCCTGCAAAGAGCAGTTCTGCTAATTACTCAGCAGCCCTGCACTACTTGGGCTCTTTTCCTGTGTGTCTTTTCTTCTCCAGCTCAGACACAGAAGATGGAGGAAGAGTTCTGAGCTTCCGCTGTCCTGCTGTCCTGGTCTATCTTTTATGTCGTCTACAGCCAATCCACAGATGCTTTCCTCCCCGTGGGAACTGTTGCCTAGCAACCAGACTCTGTACTTCCCTCCTCTCCCTGAATCAGTGCCTGCTTTAAAGACCCAAGGAATTAGCTGGACTAGAGCTCTACAGACTTCCCCAATTGACCCTTGATTATAGTTTTTGACTGTTTCTTTCTCTTAAAGAGGCCAAATCTTCTAACATTGTAAAATGCATTTGACTAAAACAGGAGAGTCTTAAGACAGAGTTCTGTTGGAGTTCCTTTGCAAACCCTGATTTTTTCAACAGAAAAAATGGAAAAATCAATCAACCGCCCTCCTCTTAGCAGCCAAAAGATGTTATGAAAATAAATGAGATGGACGCCAACAGACAGCTTGAAGCACAAGCAGTTTCAAAGGCCACCAGTTTATCTGCAACAGGTAATTATTTAGATAGAGAAACTTTCTAGAAATCCTTGTCTTCACCAAGTGCAGTAGCTCATGCCTGCACTTGGGAGGCCAAGATGAGAGGATTGCCTGAGCCTAGGGGTGTGAGACCAGCCTGGGCAACATGGCGAGACACTGTCTCTCCAATAAATAAATAGATAAATAAATAAATAAATAAATTAGCTGGGCATGGTAGTACACGTCTGTAAGTTCCAGTTACTTGGAAGATTACTTGGAACAGTGCCTGACTCATGGTAGGTTCCAGTTACTTGGAAGCAGAAGGATTATCTGAGTCCAGCAGGTGGAGGCTGTGGTAACCATGCCTCTGCCATTGCACTCCAGCCTGGGTGACAGAGTGAGACTCAGACTCAAAAAAAAAAAAAAAAAAAAGAAAAGAAAAGAAAGAAATCCTTGTCTTCAGTAAGCAGTATTAACTGGAAACTGGAAACAACCACAACACA